AAGATGCAGGGGAGAGAGAGTTGGAGGGTATATCTTGGAATAGGCATGAAGAGGTGGGTATGGGACACATCTGAGGAGTGGCCTGTGAAGGGAGAGAGTCCTTCATTTGCAATAATTTGCAGCAATAAAGGTGTAAGCTGAATATGCAAACAGGTATAGGCTGGTGGCATGTGGACATTCTCTTCTGATTGCATCACTTTTTTCAGTGAAACAGAATGCAAAGTAGTTAGGTGAGAGTAAGGATGTGAATAAGTATTTGAGATTCAAGAAGGGAGGGGGCATGAAATAGTCATCTCAGAGAGGAGAGGAATGAAGGTAAAAGGGAAATGGAGTAGGATTCCTGAGCAATTGTCATGGTCCATTTTTGTTACGAATTTAAAAGAAGGTTGCTGTGTGTTTTTCTGTACCACATTCAGTGTGCAGGAGTGGAGTGAGAGGAAACTGCATTTAGCCACTGTTCAAGTTTAGCCAGGAAAGTATGTTAATGGGAGAGAGCTTAAGATAATGCCAGGAAATACTGGAATCTAAACTGAGTAAAGAGGTAGACATGAGTAAATGAAGGACAGTGGAAAGGTGTGTAAAATAAATGAATTGAGGGCTTCAAGGGAGTTGAAAAATTGTTGGAAAGGAAGCACTCGTGAAAAATTATTCGAAAGGAAGCACATAGGCTGGGAGGACAGGATGTGAAGCTTGAAACCAATCATTTGGATGACTCTTGTCATTTATAATGACATCCCGGTATATGACCATGGAAGGTGAGATGAGATGGAGGTGAGTCTATAATTGTTAAAAGAGGTCAATAAATTAAGAGTCCATTATTGGAAGGATCATTTAGGTGGATAATAAAATTGCTAAGAACTTTAGCAGGAGTAGCATTAAAGACAGTGACAGTAAGCCAGGAGCTCATATCTTCAAGAAGTACAGAGAGATGACTTGGGAGTCTGTACATGCCTGCAATAGGAGGAAGTTGATGTGGTTTGTGTCCCCACTCAAATCTCATCTTGAATTGTAGTTCTCATAATCCCCACGTGTCATGGGAGGGACCTGGTGGGAGGTAATTGAATCATGGGGGAAGCTACCTCCATGCTGTTCTCATGATAGTGAATGAGTCCTCGTGAGATCTGATGGTTTTCTTAGGGATTTTTACCCCACTTCACTCTGCACTTCTCCTTTCTGCCACCATGTGAAGAGGAACGTGTTTACTTCCCCTTCCACCATGATTGTAAGTTTCCTGAGGCCTCCCCAGTCCTGCAGAACTGTGAGTCAATTAAATCTCTTTCCTTTATAAATTACCCAGTGTCAGGCAGTTCTTCATAGGAGTATGAGAATGGACTAATACAGAGGTATAGCATGAAGACATGAACTTCAAAGCTTGCAAAGGGTTAGAGGTTAGGGAGGAAAAAGGGATAATGATCTTCAATGGCAATGAGTGTAAGTGGACACTTACTCTTCCTCCAGATCATATAATATGAAGAGATACAAGGAATATAGTAAAGAAAACAGCCACCATTGATAAGGGCTGCGGGGGAGAAGGTGTCCTGAGGGGAGAGAGTTTTAGTTAGAACAAAGAGAGGGAAGCATTTAAAAAAGAATTTTAGAAAATGGAATAAAGACCATGAGTCCCCAAGGGCACCCTTGGAAGGGTTTTGTGAGTAACAGCACAATGGGAAATTGGTTTGGATTAGGAAATGAGTAGAGTAGTATAGAGATGAAAGTCTGAGCAATTAGGGATGGGTGGTTGATGGAATCAGGGACAAAGGTTATGATAGGGTTAGTGTTCATGACCTTCTATTGGAAAGTTGGGGCACTCTGCCAGGGAGTTCCTGCCTTGCTAGAGAGATCTATTTTAAACTATAAGTTCTATCAACATATTTTTAATTCATATGTCATTTTCAAACATTAGATGATTAGATCATTTGCACAGAACTGTTTGCTTAGTTAGGTAATCAAACAGCAATTTATTAACTTCCCATATTGCTATTGTATATTCAACCTGAGTAATTTGTATATACAGATAATAATTATTTCTAGCTCGTAAATTCTTAAAGCTGAAAGAAAAGAAACAAAAATACAATTTTGCCAGGTCCTTAGATAAGCTTTCAACTCACAATGTTGTCATAGAGCACTTAAACAAATAAATCTATTCAAAAACAAATTATAACACTTTAAAAAGCACTCATACAAACAATGATGTTTAATATTCTTTAAGTTGGGTAGACAAAATTATTCTACAGATGTGGCATTCATACTATCAACAATTTCTAAGATACTGTGCCTAAGGCTTGATTTCTCTTAAACCTATATGTGCAAATATGAGTTTGAGGTAGGCTCTGATTCATTTTGGTTTTTATTTGGGAATTGACTAAACATTTTAAAGCCACAAGGCCTATGAAGTTGACAGATGGCTTTTTCATCTTCTGTGAATTTCCTCTTCTAAAAGTGAAATTTGTATTTTGCTTTATTCCACCTTCCCTTACTTCTTTGTGAACCCTAGTTCCTGCTGAGAGTCCCTACTCAATATGACATCGGGTAGAAATGCTTTTAAGAGTCAGGAATAAATAAACACTTCTAAACAGTGATTTTGAGTGTTATGTGATTCCTTTAGTAAGTCAACAAATAAGTAAAAGAAAGAAGGAAAAGAGAGGGAAATAGTGGAGGAAAAGTCTAACTAGAAAATATATAACTTAACTGATTGAGTTTAGTTAAATGCAAACTTAAATTTCATAGTAAGAAATCCATCAGTGTTTTAGTGAAATTATAATCATAATTCAAATATTGCTTAGTTTAAATAATGGTTTTTGTTTGCTGTTTAGTTTCTATCATGGAATGAGCCTGTGTGCCTTTTAAAATAAATCTTACAGATTTATTTGGTATAAATATGTTTCCTTCTGGGAATAGAAGACCAAAGGAGAATGGGGGAAAAGTGTTTCAAATTTATTAAAATGTACATTTTCATACTTAGATATTCCTTTTCTCTCATTCTAAACCATCAGCCCAGAGGGAAGGGAAAAAGATAAACAGGAAGGCTGACTCCTGCAATTCTAGGCATTGTTGCTATTTTCTAGCATTTTCATACCAAAGTGATGGACTATAGGACTTCATTGCCAGAAATTTGTACTCTTCCCCAAGCTCGCTCGCTCTTTTTCTTCCTTCCTTCCTTCCTTCCTTCCTTCCTTCCTTCCTTCCTTCCTTCCTTCCTTCCTTCCTTCCTTCCTTTCTTCCTTTCCTTCCTTCCTTCCCTTCCTTCCTTCCTTCTTTCTCTTTCTTTCTTTTCTTTCTTTCTTTCTTTCTTTCTTTCTTTCTTTCTTTCTTTCTTTCTTTCTTTCTTTCTTTCTTTCTCTTTCTTTCTTTCTTTCTTTCTTTCTCTTTCTTTCTTTCTTTCTTTCTTTTCTTTTCTTTCTTTCTTTCTTTCCTTCTTTCCTTCCTTCCTTCCTTCTTTTTCTTTCTTCCTTCCATCCCTCCCTCCCTCTTCCCTCTCTCCCTCTCTCCTTCCCTCCCCTCCCTCCTTCCTTCCTTCCTTCTTCCTTTCTCTCTCTTTTCTTTCTTTCCTTTTTCTTCCTTCCTCTCTCTCTCTCTGTCTCTCCCCCCTTCTCTCTTTATATATATGTATGTACATGTCTGTATATATGTTATATGTGTGTGTGTGCGCGCATATATGTGTATGTGTGAATCTAAGTTCTAGAATTTAGCTCAGAATTACAGGGTTATATAGAAACAAAAGGGACAGTTTCAAACTGAGTTCCCTGGAACTTTGAGGTTCTTTAGTGAAGTACAATAAAAGGAGGCCTAGTAGAAGATGCCTACTCATAATAATTTTTTTTACCTGTTTAAAAGTGAGATTGGATTTCAGAACTTAAAAACTAAAGATGTCGTGTGCCTTGCCCACAGCCCACGTGGAAACTCAGCTTCCCTAGGCTCTCACCTCAGTGCTCTTTGTACCATGCCACTTCACTTCTTACCATAGACTTTAGTCTGTATATCAAAAATCCTTAATAAGCGGGACCACAATATCATTCTTTACTAGTAGCTGCCATTTTTTAAGACACCATAAATTCTTATATGAATATTTAAAGCTTAATTTTTAAAAATTGACCTCGAGTTGGTTCTTTCTGCAATGGAGAGAAAGACTGGACTGGTATCAAAGAAACTGAGCTAGTCATTGAGACTACAGCTCATAGTCAAGCTTTAATGATTTTGTGAATTAAACTTCAATTTCTTGCCAGTAAAATGAGGTTAATAAAGCATCATATCTTCCTTACAAAAAATGAAGTTGGTCTTATAAGTGTCAAATAAAACAGTAACTGAAATAATGCATGGAATATATGTAGAAGTACTTTGCAAGCTGCAAATAAATATATGTAAGCTGCTTCTTATTACAATTAATTATTATAAAATAAGAAATATATAACTTACCTATGACCAAGTGCAAAAGTGGGCACTAGTGGGTATTAATTCTGCACAAGAGGCACATTTAAAAGACTTCTTGTCTTTTTCATAAACATATTTTAATTCCAAATTTTCTGGCAATTTCTTTCTACCCTTTAGAATGTAAGTCTCCCCCACTAGACTGGCTTTGTGTGGACACAGATTGTTTCCGTAGATGTGGATCATAATCATCATTTGATCTTCTCTGACCTACAAATGTGGAAGTTTCATATAGTTCAACGTAATAATTTAGCTTTGTATTTCTAGAACAATGTCCAGCTCCAGGTAAAAGTGTTTTTAAAAATTGCTGTACTGAACTATTGAATGGAACTTGGAAATAAAGTTCCTTCCAAAATAACTGCTCTTCAACAGGAAGTAATAGGTAAATGTGTTAGAAGTGAGAGGAATCAAACTGCCAATGATTTATTCTTTTTTTTCCCTCCTAGGTTTCTGGGATAGGTATGTGCAAATAAAAAATAAAAACGAGAAGGAACTGTAACCTGATTACAAATTTGGGAAAAAGATTAATCAACACACAAAGGGAAAAGTAAACTGGTTGACAGCCCTCAGGAATCATGCCCTTTTGCCACAATATAATTAATATTTCCTGTGTGAAAAACAACTGGTCAAATGATGTCCGTGCTTCCCTGTACAGTTTAATGGCGCTCATAATTCTGACCACATTGGTCGGCAATCTGATAGTTATTGTTTCTATATCACACTTCAAGCAACTTCATACTCCGACAAATTGGCTCATTCATTCCATGGCCACTGTGGACTTTCTTCTGGGGTGTCTGGTCATGCCTTACAGCATGGTGAGATCTGCTGAGCACTGTTGGTATTTTGGAGAAGTCTTCTGTAAAATCCACACCAGCACCGACATTATGCTGAGCTCAGCCTCCATTTTCCATCTGTCTTTCATCTCCATTGACCGCTACTATGCTGTGTGTGACCCATTGAGATATAAAGCCAAGATCAATATCTTGGTTGTTTGTGTGATGATCTTCATTAGTTGGAGTGTCCCTGCTGTTTTTGCATTTGGGATGATCTTTCTGGAGCTAAACTTCAAAGGCGCTGAAGAGATATATTACAAACATGTTCACTGCAGAGGAGGTTGCTCTGTGTTCTTTAGCAAAATATCTGGGGTACTGGCCTTTATGACTTCTTTTTACATACCTGGATCTATTATGTTATGTATCTATTACAGAATATATCTTATAGCTAAAGAGCAGGCAAGATCAATTAATGATGCCAATCAGAAGCTCCAAATTGGATTGGAAATGAAAAATGGAATTTCACAAAGCAAAGAAAGGAAAGCTGTGAAGACATTGGGGATTGTGATGGGAGTTTTCCTAATATGCTGGTGCCCTTTCTTTGTCTGTACAGTCATCGACCCTTTTCTTCACTACACTATTCCACCTACTTTGAACGATGTATTGATTTGGTTTGGCTACTTGAACTCTACATTTAATCCAATGGTTTATGCATTTTTCTATCCCTGGTTTAGAAAAGCACTGAAGATGATTCTGTTTGGTAAAATTTTCCAAAAGGATTCATCCAGGTGTAAATTATTTTTGGAATCGAGTTCATAGAATTATTATATTTTACTGTTTTGCAAATTGGTGATCATGTTTATGAACACAAGATAACCCACCACATGCCCCAACCACATGGATTTTTTTAATCAGTTACTTGAGTCAAAGCATGTTTGGTGAGTTAAATTATGATGCTTATAGGTAATTTCCTATTTGGGATATAGGAGGTATAATCTTTTCCATTCTTACCACGCATATCGGAACTTTGCAACTCCAGCATTTAAAGGCCTGCATTGTATATAACTTTTCCTGCCCTTAGAAGAACTGCCATGAGTTTGCTATGGTACCTTAGCTGTTCAGTGGTGGAAACTATAGGGCTGAATTTGAGGATGCAAATTAGAATGATTTTGTCATATATGTGTACATGTCCTTGTCACATATGTGTATATGTCTTTTAGTAAAATCAACTAAAAGTACACACATTAAATGTTACTGCTAAATAAGTGTTGACACATAATTTATTTATATTGTTAATATATATTCCAATCCTTAAATATCTTGAGTTTCATATTTTTAAAGTATGTTTTTCTGATTCTCATACGTCTGAGAAATTTGAAAAATGAAGGAAAATAAAATATGTACAAACCAAATGAAATTTTAAAAATGTTACTCACAGCATACTTCCTGGTAAGGATTATATCATCTAAAATTCTTTATTTTATATTAATATTTTTCCTTTTCAACTTTTATTTTGGAGTCAGGGGTATGTGTGCACATTTGTTAACTAAATATAATGCATGCTGCTGAGGTTTGGGCTACGAGTAATCCCTTTTTGTGGCTGTATAATGTGACTTTGCACAGATGTACAAATATATTTTTAACCATTCCCTATTGTTAACAATTCCAGTTGTTTCTAACTTTTCTAAAAATAATATTAATTAAATGAAATTTCTGCTTTTTACCTGCTACTGAAGTCATGAAAATGTCTAGAAGGATTTTACCATGTCTTAAGGTCATATCTGGCATGATAGGGTTCAAAACACAGGCTATCTGGCATTAAACAAATTTACTTTGCTGGGCTCCACAGTACACAGAAAGAGAAGCAGCCATCCATCAAAGTAGCTAAACATGAGGGCCAACAAGAGGTATAATCAGACTGGATATACCATGGCTATTTAGATGGCATATATAAAAATAAAAAAGAGGAACAAATAATGGTTTCAAATAAGATTCTCTAAAGGAAGTGGGCAAACATTCTAAATTACAAGCATTCATCAGCAATTGAGCTGATGAATACAAACTTCACATGGTCTGTTTCAGATTGAGTATCACCAGGGATTTGGATTTACCTTCGGCCCATGAATAACTTAGGGTAAGGCAGATGATTTTAAACATAACTGAATGCACACTGCTGCATATAAATTTCTGTTTACAAATCTGAGGATCTCCTGAGGATATGTTAAATCCTTCCAGAAATTATAGTCTGTTTCTGGAGTATATATTTTGTCTGAATGATCTGTATCAAGTTTTGCTCTAGTACATTTTAAAAACATTATGTTTTATGTTTTTAATTTAGTATACGCAAGACAAACTAAGTAGTGTCCCTAACCACTCTCAGTTTCAGAAGAGTTTTTTCACCTGTGAGACCAGTCTGTCAAATTTTAAAAAGGAAACAAGCATTTAGTGAGTTTTCTATACTTTGCAGTAATTTTATGTGCTTTCCTTCATTTCCCCCATAATTCTTCTTAAGATTACTCTGAAGTGTTTTGTACTTTTCTGTATACATGTTTTGCCTATTCTGAATTTTTTTCTAAAACCATTATGTTTTCTATGTAACCATTACTGCTGGTTTTATAATAAAGTTTATATTAGCTTTTCAGTTGACTCATTTGGGTTTTCATTATACAAATCATATTATCCTCAAACAAGGCTAAGTTTTATCTTCTTTCCAGTAATTATGATTCTGATTTATATTCCTTACTGTACTTCACTAGTTAGAATTTGTGAATCAATATTGATAATGGTGATAATCTTTTTTACATTTACTTTAAAGTACTATTCAGGTTTTAGCATAGATTCCACATTTATCTTGGGACAAGTTCACGACTCAAATAATTTTACATTTTTTCACTCGGTACTAAAGCTCTTACAGTCTATCTTTATTGTTGGTTCTGTTTTTAATATTCATAATACGTAATAACTGACCCTCTCAGCACAACAGGAAGAAAGGTTTGCTTCGTCTTTCCATATTCCCAGCTTTGCTGTAGCTTCCCTTTCCTCATGCAGAGGTGTTTTTGTCTTTTAATTTTCCAGAGTCTATTTAACAACTGGAATCCAATTCACTTTTGAGATGTTTTTTATTCCAACTAGTTATAGCTCATTGGAACTGTAATAAAAAAAATTGACCCCTGCCTCTCCCTTTAATTAAGCAGATGAGTAAATTACCCAAGCTTGTATTTTCAGACCTTTCTCTAGAATTTGAATTTCTGACAAAGGGATAGAAACAGTGATTCTTAGCAGAATAATTAGCAGAACACAATGAAATCATGTGGGTGTTCATTTTATCCAAGCGGTAAGATCATGAGCAGACTGCTCATGGTAATATCAAGATTTCTTTCTTCCCCGACTCCAGAACTACCCACCTGTTTGTTCATTTCCAAATTCAGTTATCCAGCATGGATTCCATGAGTCCCAGATAGCCTTCTAATTAATTCCCTTTGAGAATAACTTTTGGTTGCATCCACAGAAAGAACCTTAACTTGACATATAAGATTATAGCAAATACCAAGAAAGCAATTTCAATGCCACTCCTTCCCCAGGTCAAGATAACTTGCAATCAAAACCGTCTCAACTTCCACCCTCTTCTCAAAGAGGAATGTTCATATAAATTTCCACTCCAGATCAGTAAAAGAAGTGTTAGCAAGGAAGTTTGTTGGAACTGATTTAATAATGATAATAATAATGTCATCTTAAAGAGATCAGTGAACTGGAATCCATCTTGATTTTGAAGTCAGTTCTTGAAGTCAATAATCCAATCTTTAGAGACTCATAAATATTTGCCAAAAAAGTAGTGCAAAGCAGATGAACTCCAATTCATTGTCAATTCTGATGAGCCACAGTTTCCCTTTAGTTCTCAATAAGAACTTGAACATTAAAGGTATAAAGAAATATGCAGAATGATTTATGGTTCTAAATTTAGTAGATGATAAAGTGTACTGACAAAATTATTATTTAGTAGTTGAGATATGCACTCAGAAAATCTCGATGATGTAAGAATCAGATTGAGAGTTTTGTTTTTTGTATTTTGCTTTTCTAAAAGATAAAGTACATATGCATTTTCCAAAGTGCTTTAATATAACTCATTGAGTACGTGGCCAGCTATAAGAAATATTGGAAGTAAACTTGACAGATCTTCACCACCTTCTCCACATCTCTTGTCCTTCTAAACCTCCTGCCCCAAGCCTTTAAGCTCCCAGTGAACTTAGGCTGCTCTAACATTCATTCCATTGAGGCTAGTTCTGTTCTGATTCACATTAGCCTCAGCATTTCCTTTGTTTCTTTCATATTTCACAGGGGGAAGACATTATTGACTCACACAAATTAAAATGTTCTCAATATATTTATAAATTAAAGTGATGTAGGAGCTTAAAATTAGGCCACCCACAATGATTTATCAATGGCAGGTATCCCTCTTTTTTTAAGTATACTTCTAGTTCTGGGATACATGTACAGAACGTGCAGGTTTGTTACGTAGGTATACAGGTGTCACAACCCGTCATCTACATTAGGTATTTCTCCTAATGCTCTCCCTCTCCTTGCCCCTTACCCACTGACAGGCCTCAGTGTGTGATGTTCCCCTCCCTGTGCCCATATGTTCTCACTGTTCAACTCACAGTTATGAATGAGAACATGCTCTGGTTTTCTGTTCCTGTATTAGTTTACTGAGAATGATGGTTTCCAGCTTCATCCATGTCCCTGCGAAAGACATGAAATCTTTCTTTTTTTATGGCTGCATAGTATTCCATGGTGTATATGTGCCACATTTTCTTCATCCAGTCTAACATTGATGCGCATTTGGGTTGGTTCCAAGTCTTTGCTATTGTGAATAGTGCTGCAATAAATATACGTGTGCAAGTGAATTTATGGTAGAATGATTTATAATCCTTTGGGTATATAATCAGTAATGAGATTGTTGGTTCAAATGGTATTTCTAGTTATAGATCCTTGAGGAATCACCACACTGTCTTCCACAATGGTTGAACTAATTTACACTCCCACCAACAGTGTAAAAGCATTCCTATTTCTCCACTTCCTCTCTAGCATCTGTTGTTTCCTGACTTTTTAATGATTGCCATTCTAACTGGCGTGAGATGGTATCTCATTGTGGTTTTGATTTGCATTTCTCTGACAACCAGTGATGAAGAGCTTTTTTTCATATGTTTGTTGGCTGCATAAATGTCTTCTTTTGAGAACTGTCTGTTCATATGCTTTGCCTACTTTTTGATGGTTTTTTTTTTCTTGCAAATTTGTTTTAAGTTCCTTGTAGATTCTGGATATTAGTCCTTTGTCAGATGGATAGACTGCACAATTTTTCTCCCATTCTGTAGGTTGCCTGTTCACTCTGATGATAGTTTCTTTTGCTGTGCAGAAGCTCTTTAGTTTGATTAGATCCATTTTCTCAATTTTGGCTTTTGTTGCCATTGCTTTTGGTGTTTTAGTCATAAAGTCTTTGCCCATGCCTACGTCCTGAATGGTATTGCCTAGGTTTCCTTTTAGGGTTTTTATGGTTTTAGATCTTATGTTTAAATCTTTAATCCATCTTGAGTTAATTTTTGTATAAGGTGTAAGAAAAAAGTCCAGTTTTAGTTCTCTACATATGGCTAGCCAGTTTTCTAACACCATTTATTAAATAGGGAATCCTTTCCCCATTGCTTGCTTTCATTAGGTCTGTCAAAGATCAGATGGTTATAGATGTGTGGTGTTAATTCTGAGTTCTCTGTTCTGTTCCATTGGTCTATATATCTGTTTTGGTACAAGTACCATGCTGTTTTGGTTAC